TCTCGAATACTCGATTACGAATATTAGGTACCTAATTATACGTCAACACTTTGACATTTTATAGTTATTTTGGTAAATGGATATATGAAAATTGAAGCGATGGTGTAACATTTAGCCTCGCATGTAGAACGTTATGGAAAAATTTCTGTCACCAAAATTGTTAAGGGTATGTTTCAATTTAGCCGGAAATTACGTGCGCCGGATTGCGTGTAAAAGGGTGGACGACCCGTGCGCCGATCCCAAATATACGAAGGGCGTCCTCCTAGGAATTTATTGTGATCCGGACGAACCGGATGATCCCGGGAAGTTTACGGCCGCGGCCGAAAAGTATAATCGGCTGGTAAATTGTAAATTATTTGACACGCTGAAATACGTGGGGCCGTTACCGAAGAGAGGCGAGGTGAAGTTGTTTTATCATTTGGACGATGAGTATCACGCGGTCGCGTTGGTTGGGTTGGGGAAGGAGTGTCAAGGGTACGATGTGTTCGAGCAAATTGATGAGGGCAAGGAGACTATCAGGATTGCGGCTGCAGTCGGATGTCAGGCTTTACAAGGCATGCGTATTACGAAGGTAATGGTGGAGAGTTTCGGACACGCTGAATCTGCAGCCGAGGGCGCCGCGTTGGGCGTGTGGTTGTATCAAGAAAAGAAAAACAAGACGAATAGAATGTCTATTCCACAGTTGGAGCTGTACGACGACTGCGATTGGACAGGGTGGCAGATAGGGTTACAGAAAGCTGCCGCACAAAATCTTGCAAGGCAACTGACCGATACGCCCGCGAATTTAATGACGCCAACATCGTTTGCGCAAAACGCCGTAGAAGTCTTGTGCAAATCTGGAGTTAACGTTGAGGTGAAAGTGAAGGGATGGGCCGAAACTCAAAAAATGTACGCATTTCTGGCGGCCTCTCAAGGATCTTGCGAACCTCCCATATTTATGGAGTTAAGTTATTATGGAGCATCTAAAGATGAACGACCGGTCGTTTTGATTGGCAAAGGAGTAACTTACAATAGTGGGGGGCTTTGTGTAAAAAGCTGCAAGGATCAAGCGCTGATGCGCGGTGATATGGCTGGAGCCGCCTGTATTGTAGCTGCAAGTCGAGCGGTGGCAGCACTCCAACTGCCTTTGAACATTCGATGTTTAATACCGCTGTGTGAAAATATGACAGGATGTTCCGCCCTCAAACCAGGAGACATCGTGAAAGCTATGAATGGGAAAAGCATTTTTATTCAAGATTCCGACTGCGCTGGACGTCTAATCCTCGCGGACGCGCTGGTATACGCCCAAAACTTTTGGCCTAGGTTTATCATAAGTGTCGGCACGATGACCCCGGAATCCACTGAAACTTTAGGCGACGCCTCGTCAATCGGTTTTAGTAATTCAGAAGCGCTATGGGACTACATGATGGCTGCCTCGATGCATACGGGAGATCGAATTTGGAGATTTCCCCTCTGGAATTGCTACAAGGAGTCGATTCGCGCATTTGAAAATTGCGATACCAAAACAATCGGACGAGGGCCCGGTCACACCGCTGGACTATGCAATGCGGCGGCTTTCCTGCACGAATTCTTGCCATGCGGGGATTGGTTGCATTTGGATACATTTGGCACGAAGTGGTCGGACGGGGAGACGTTTGAATATCTACGCGTTGGCATGTCCGGTAGACCAACACGTACCCTCGTCGAATTTCTGTCTCAATTAGTCTGTCATCGTGAATAGTTTTGTAAATAAAATGTTTCAATACACAATACGCTTCGATTATTATTATCAGCAAATCGCATTAGTCAGCACTCCAGCGACCTCTCGTTTGGTCCCTGAAACTTCACACTCCACTTAGAGTACCCATCTAAAGTGCCTGTATACCTACGGGATCGAGGCACCAAATACGTGGAGACACCACCAGGCAAACTAGAGGATGTGAAATCACCCCTAAGTCAAACTGCTGACACTTGCTAGAGACTTTTGAAGCAGTTGTTTGATATAGCTCCGGTAACCCTGATGACCATTGAACAGTGGTATTCAGACAGCCGTAATCCTTCAACGAAAGCTAAGGCTATTTATAGAGCTTTCGATATTCTTACGTCTACTCCAAAGCTGGGCGAGCTTACGAACGTTGAAACGGATTTTAGGGGCATTAGTCCCTGGATTGCCGCATGAAAAGCTGTAGACCGCCTTTTAATTCATGATCATCCAGGCCAGATGTCGAGGTCTTTCATAACACGTTGGTAAACCAGCTAATGCATATCTATAATATTAAAGACTCAAGCTGTTGATTACTAACAGGGCGCAGAGCGTTTTATTAAATAACCCATACTTTGGATAAGATTGCCCATAAAAAGTGGTGTTTCGCAGAGACCAATTTTGGGACCATTATTGTTTTTTTAGCGCATTTCCACAAAAATAAAAAAATGCGCTATTGTGGCCAGTTTGTCCGTCCGTCCGTCCGCTCGTTCGATGAGACGCTACTAGTTCTTTATCTTAAGAGCTATTGTTCGTTATGGTGTCGAGGCTTGCACCAAGGAAGGCATTTTTTCTGCGTTTATTGCTGAAAAAGTTATTGCAAAAAAACCAACAAACCGTTTTTTACATGTTCCATAATTTTACACTTTTGCCGTTTATTAACGATCCTAGAGATCGTTTATAATTTCGTATTGCTGTCTGTCGTCTGTCTGTTGGTCTGTCCGTCTGTTCCCTTGTCTGTCTGTCTCTCTATCTGTCCGTGTGAACGATAATTTTGTTTAGAAATGTCCGATCTCTTTTAGATCTCCGTTAGTTATGAACTGAATTGCATGAAATTCAATATGGGCATAGCTTTAGCCATATAATACGCAATGCCAAAAGTTGAGTCGATCGATTCAAAATTCACAGTGCCCTTTTCGCATTTATAAACCGAATTGCAAACTTTTTTATTTATAAAAGTATTTGAATGAAATTTGACGCATAGCCACTTGGAATAAATGAAAATCTAACGCCAGTTTCAAATTGCGCATTGCTAACTTTTTTATTTATGGAAGCATTTAAATGAAATTTGATACGCATGCGCAGTGCCAACTTTTTTTATTTATGGAAGCATTTAAATGAAATTTGATACGTAGGCACTTGGAATAAATGAAAATCTAACGCCAGTTTCAAAATTTGGTTTTGCGCATGCGCAGTGTCAACTTTTTTATTTATGGACGCATTTAAATGACATTTGATACATAGGTGCTTGGAATAAAGGAAAATCTAACACCAGTTTCAATTTGCGTATGCGCAGTGCCAACTTTTTTATCTATGGAAACATTTAAATGAAATTTGGTACATAGGCGCTTGGAACAAAGGAAAATCTAACGTTAGTTTCAAAATTTAGATTTGCACATGCGCAGTTCCAACTTTCTTATTTAGAAAAGCATTGAAATGAAATTCTTCTTATAAACAGAAATTGAAGTAGCGCGTCAAAAATGGATTGCGCATGTGCAACGCTATCTTTCATATTTGTGGCCGGATTTTAACGGAAGTAGCATCTTACAAATAGGAAATGAATACTAGTGGAAATGCGCTTTTTGCAAATCGTTTACGATTACTTTTTAACTTGTTTAGTTTTGTAGTGACATACCCCTACGATTAGGCAACACCCCTTACAGAGCAGAAAGAAAATCCCTACGGGAAAAATACAAAATGGTCTGTAGGCCCAGACCATTTTATTCTTATACATAAGCAGATTTTTAAACAAGTTAAAATTTTGCCATATAACAATAGAGGAAACATTGCAGAGAATACGTGATGACCAGACTGATAATACGCATTATCGCCGAATAAAGTATTATATGTGATGATATACCCCCATAGATAGGGCAACACACCTTACAATTAATTAATTAAACCCTATTTGTTGCGCGTGAACTAAGTTCGCGTTAACGTTGCGTTAGAACGGAGGAAGCCAGAGGGTAGTGTCGTTGCGACCACTGGGTGAGGTTGTCCCGTCTTGTTGTAAAGCAGATGTTTCTTGTGTTTTTGTGCTCTTTGTATTTAAGTGCTCGATATTTCTCCAAGCGTTATCAAGGTACATAGAACTGCTTTTAATTTTGTTTTATTTAAGCTGTTTTAAACTCAATTTGTCAGGGAATTTTTGAAAGGAAAAAAATCCCCTTGTATGATGGTTTTGCCCGCCTGCCTGTCCGTCTGTCTGCATGTTCCTTGTCTAACTCGAGAACGAAAAGAGATAGTCATGTCAAACTTTCACCAACAAAGTCATGCCCATTTTGATGCTATTTAGGTACATGCAATTTATCAGTATAACTCTCGCCAGGAAAGATTGCCGGTCATAGCACACCTTGTGTCAATTTACAATCTATGTTTTTTTAAGATGCGAGCAACATCTGGAATAGGATCGTGCCAATGTTGAACGAAAAGACTTTTCGTTCAACATTGGCACGCTCCTACCCCGGAAGTAGCTCACATCTTTAGAAAAACACCACAACCAAAATAATGAAGAAGAAAAACCAGGAACGCGTGATGCCCTCCGTCGACACCGTCGCCATCTTATTCATTCTGCACCCTCTATTTTTAGCTTCGTTACGAAAATCATACGAAAATCCCATTGAGTTAGAAAACTAAAAATCCCCTAGTTTTCGACATCTACGCAGAACGGTAGATTGGTTATATACAGACCGTATCATATTTTTGTTTCAGATGTAAAGGTGTGTTGCCTAACCATAATGGTCGATTATCACAACGTGTGCGAGCATCTTTTGTAATCAAACACCTGATTTTTAAATGAATTTGTTCCATATTTTAGCCGCGCACTGTATGTACGTACTTACCTGATGTTAATAATTGTTTGCTTACCCGCTCGATTGGCTTTTGTAGGCCTGGAGAGAATCCTACAGTTATTGTGGACATGGCGCTTGACCGCTCAAGTGGATATTTTTTATTTATCTAGTGGACCGAATGGGGGGCGATTCCAGACATTGTCATTTATGAGATGGGAATAGGTATATAGGTATATAATAACACCATATTGTCATATTACTGCTTTTAATCACAATCATATATTCTTATAACATAGTTCAGTTAAATGTTACCCAATAAGTGTTTCTAATGCGCCATAATAACATTATACTTATAAACTAATTTTTCGCGATTAGCTCCCATGGCACGTAGGGTTACTTTACTGATTCATTTCAATTTGAACACATGAAATACTTGCACTAATAGTTTTGGTTGGTGTGTTGATGTCACATTTGAGAGAGTTAACAAATCCACTATTCAATTGAGCGTGCTCTCCTGTTTAAATTTCAATCACAGACAATAGTTGCGAACGGATATGCTCGTTTACATATTTTTGAGAAAAGATAAACTGAATAACACACAAAAAACTGGAAGAACACCGTCATTATAATTGTTGTAGCTTTAGAAGCCATGTTTCCAAGAGAAACGGTGTAAGTTACTCAAAAGAGTTTCAAATATCTGCGAAAATGCTGACATAATTATAGTCGTGCAAGATACACAAAGACACAAAGAGGAGTAGGTTCTTTCAGTGAAAAAGTTGGTCATTCAGTTGGGCTCTCGATAGAATAAGATTAATAACAAAAACGCCTAAAATCTAAAGTATATCTTTAGGAGAATGTGAAGAGTAAAGGAAGGAAGGCTTTTGAGTGATGCTTGGCATCTTGCATTCATGTAATTTTCTCCTTCCACTTTAACATTTAACAAATCTTCAAATGTTGCAAAAGAACTATAATACCTATTTCTGACTTTTGCTCCTGTTTCGAAAACGGTTTGGCTCTAAGTAGAAAACTCAACTATAGGTTCTTAGATGATTAATTCATTTGACACACAGAATATATCATTGGTGGTTTCCTGTAGATCTAAAACATCAACTTTCGGTACGTCTTTCGTTTCTTTAAAGGACATATGTTCTCTTAAAGTAACAACGTAATTGGAAGTACAAAGGTCGGTCGTAAACTGCTAACCGTGTGATGAGCACGGCTAGGTTTGCGCCGGTCCTAAGGATGCACTAATTGACTCGCTTATCCCCTTCACCCTTTTCCCTCGCAGGTCGACCGAATCGTAAATCGGATATTCGCAACAGAGTATGAATTTCAAAAATTGTGGTACCTCCACATAAATTGCGGGCGGTATAGGAATAAGCGGAGAGGTCGAAGCTTTGTAGTATCGATACTCCGAATCGCTGCAATAAATCCAACTTAATTCGTTTTCTACAATATTTGATCACCTACTCTCCGTATTTATCGTCGGAAGACCGCTCGAGCAATGGAATTCCGGACAGGAATAGTATAATGAAGGTTGTAAAAATAGGAGACATTATGGCGATCCATTCGATTCCATCCAAGACGTTTAAGGATATTACGAAAATTCCCCACCACAGAAGAATTTCGCCGAAATAATTGGGGTGCCTGGACAATCTCCATAAACCTACAACAAGCTTATAGTTTCTCTTTCGTTTCGTGAGTGTCCGTTTACCGTCATTGCACCATTTGCCTTGGTTGTGAGGATCCTGCTTGAAGGAGAATTTTTGCAAGTCGGCGTACGTTTCTGCCAAAAGTCCAATCACAAAAAGACCTGTACCGGTCGAATCCAGAGTGGTCATCGTGCGAGGTGCCAGTGGAATTGCATGGCGCGGTGAGTTGATGATTATCACCGGTAAACTTACCACGTACACCCAAACTGCCTAAAATTGGTTAAATTAGATAATGTACCAGAAGGCTGGAAGACGTTTCTGTTGGAAGTCCCCAACGTTGGGGAGGAGGAGCGAGGTGGGAGCTAGAGGAGTAGGAGGACAGGAAGTAGGTTAAAGGTACCATTTTTCTCGGAAACAATCACTTATCCCACTCTTAACCTGCTCCGAAACTGATAAAATTTCCTCCAAAAATGGTTCAATACATTTCTGTCGTAAGCGAGTAATATGATTTGAATAAATGTGCTTTATTTTTATTTAATACCTACGCACCTATACTCGGAGTATTCGGATTCGCAATGAAAGGACTTCAAACAGGTGTCTTCGAATCTGAGTTAGGTCGCGCCAGACTTGCATTCACTGCGAAAAGGGGTTACGAGCCACATAATCGCCAACCAAAAGCAAGATTTGGCGTCGTCAGCACTAAACCAACAATAGAAACCATTTCCGGTTGAGGAAGAAATCAGAGGATGTCAACTAAATATAGTGCGACGTCACACCTTTTGCGCATCATCAAAGATCAGTATACGAAAACTTCTCAGTCCGCAAGAAAGAATTTAAGGTTTCATTTTGATATCTGCAACCTAGTCGTTTATATGAATGAAGTAGGTTCATGCCGGTTCATTGTAATGTTGCGTCACTTTTGCTTTTGCCTGCAACAGGTGCAGTTGTATTTGCGTTAAGAGTCAAAAGCACACTTTGATAGCAGGTCGTTAATGCCATATCCCCGTTGGGGCTAAAATTCTATACCTGCTGCCATGTCTAAGGAGAAGGTCACCTAGCTGGTATTTATTAATATAATAGACGGGTAGACCTTTTAATAATTTTCAAATAGATTCTATAACCGGTCCGTGCGTAGTTTACTTAATCAAATAATCACTACCCCAACTTATATAGACTGATTGTTTGCCGATTGTTAACAATTGATATTCATTCGGGAGCTTGCGTGAAAATCTCCAAGTGATCATGTAAGTAAGCGAAAATTTTCATTGTAGATACGGCAAAGAAAAGTTATATGATGTACATCCCTCCACCGGCGGGGCGGCGCGCTACACTTTTTTAATAATATACGAAGAAATAGTCACATGATAGTGTATATGCTCCACTTGGAGTACTTTAAAGGCAATGAAATACATTTAGATGAATAAATAGAGGTTTTTCATTTTTATAACGCAATTACGGGTACTTTTTGGACACAGTAGTACGTCATTGACGATTTATTCCATGTGAAGTGAAAATGGGCAGATAATATTACTTTTGTTATTCTTTAATAACGTTCCTCCAAATATAAAACAAGTTGTAAATCAGCATATGCATGATTAAAGCGCATTTTTGGTAATGCAGGTCGGTATTTTATTAGCGAAGTTTAAAATTATCGATCTCACGAGTAATTTTGGCTGCGTTAAATAATTAATTTTATTTAATTTCAAGACGGTACGTCTTCATTTTGTAAAACAAATCACAAAGTAAATAATAAGTTTTTATACTAGTAGCGCTATCTAACGGTAAAATTATATCACCTCCGAAACCCATATCGAAATTATTTTCTTCAATTATCGATCTCACAAGTAATCTAACTCAAAATAGACTAGTGCCTGCACATCTACACTATAGCAAAAGCTTTTAGTGAAAATTTGAAGTCTCTAGCTATTGTAGTTGTGGAGATCTAACGCGGACAGCCGGCCTGCCAGCAATAACGAATATAATAGCGTATTTTTTTCAAAAATGCGCTAAAAATTCTAACGCGCTCGAGAATGTTAAGGTACCGTTGTTTTGCGAGTTTATGACCGTCCCACTCTCTCACGTTACGCTCAAATCGTCAGATTATTGAACTGCACACTTTTTAACACGTAGTCAACCCACCTTACCTTTATCAGACGCGCTCGAAAGCACGTATAATATTTATTTTCAATTGAAAGTGAAGACGAGTTCGTATAATCGAAGAATACGAAAGAACTGTTAGCTGCGGTATCGTACGTGGTTGCAGCTAATTGCCGGAATGAATCGAAAAAACTGTGCCGCCATTTCGACGAAATTATTGTCGGGTGTGCTTTCTAAATTTGTGACGATTTGCTATTGCAAGTAAGCTAATAATAAGTGACTGGTTGATGCAAAACGAAGTTGACGGGCCGGTTGGTATAATTTTCAAGGGGGCACTTAACTTTTAAAACGTACGCGAACAAATTCGTTTGATTGTATTGTTAGAATAGCGTATTTGAGTAAAAATAAATTGTCGCCACGAAGGCGTGGTGGTTAAATTTTTAATTGCGCTATATTTGGAGTGGTTAGTTGCGTGAAAAGACCAGTTTATCAATCAAATTTGTGCACCTATTTTGTTTATATGAGGTGCCAATAAGATTTTGAATAATGTGGCAACCGCAAAAAAAGGTTGAAAACAATTAATTCGTGAGTTTGTTGGGTGTTAAATCCTTAAGTAGTTTGACATTTTCATACTGCGGCACATTTGTAAGTTAATTCAGCGAATAAGCTAAATTTCAGCTAATAAATCAACTGTCAATTCGGGAACATTTTGCGTTGTGTAACAATAGGAATCGATCGTTTTGGGGATTTTGTATAAAAGATTTACGCTCAAAGCCATTTTAACATTGGTCGACCCACGGGGAGTTTATCCCGTGAACAAATTTGTGTATTTTTATGAGTGATAAGCGAACCTAAACCAAAGATATTGGTAATGTTTTTCTGATTAATTGAAAAATTGAATTTTAAGTTCATATAGATACCATTCTTTTGTGTGGGTTACATTTTATTTAGCATCCAGAGGCGTGTAAATTTATTTTGAATAGGATGTTGTATCGAATAGAACTATTTCTGTAGAAATTTTGTCAGCTTCAGTTGCGGAATAAAAAATTAAGTGATCGTGTAGGTAAAAGAAGCATGTAAAAATTTCTTCTATCGTTCTATTTCTGATTAAATTGTGGGAACGCAGATTTCACAAGCTCACCTGAAACGTCCAGAAAATTGCAAAACGTATTATGTTACTTCGTCTATCATCAAACTGTTTATCTCTCCCAATTTTTAATATTCGGTACAGAAGGTAGCCGGATAGTCTTGCGCCCCAAAGGCATACGCAAACAGTAACCATGAGTTGCCGACTATCATACGATTTCTGAAACAAACAGCTTTGGACAAGTTCGCAACTACCATTAGGTACCACTCCATACCTTTCCGCCTTGTCCTAGAAAGAATGTGAGCAGCGCCAGAGTGATAAAATTAATTCCGCCAGCGAAATCGGTTAACTTATCTAATTGAAATGTGGCTGCTATCAAAAAGAATGTCAGCTGCATTGATACGGTAACAATTGCGCTAATGGCAAAATGATCTTCGTCCAAAATTTGAATGGCCATTACAAAAAAAGTGTTGTGCGTCTGGTTAGCCTGAAAAATGTTACTAATTGAATGGGATGCAACCGTTTCATCTCAAATTCAGAAATCAATAATGCATATCGCCGACAAGCGAATTAGGTCAATGACAATCGCAATTAAAAATCAATCTCTAGGTAAGTTGCAAATTCAAGGACACAGCATCCAGCCAGCGATCAATATTTGCGTCTCAACGATAAGCTCGATCCATTGAAGACACGCGTTTCACTTGGAAATAAATGAATCGTCGCAATTGGGTCGCCAATACTGCATGCGTCATTGATTTCTAATACGCCTAACAAAATCTTCAGGACAAGTGCGAAAAAAAAATTAAGAATGACACGGGGTTAACGCACTTTGCCGAACTGTGTGTAATTGGCACTTTTTCTAACAGGGGTGCACAATCGGCGCTAAAAATTAAGGAGCTAATTAAACGAATGTTTACTCACATAATTTTATTTGTGAGGTAATTTGCTGGAGAACACCATCGTCGCGGTGCTCAACGCCGTCGTTGCTGCAGCGTCGCGACGCCCACTGACGAGATGAAAGCCGCACATCTGCTTCTACATTTTCAACGCGTGTGCCCGTTCGAAGTGTTATACCAGAAATTACTTCGTTATTAATATTTCTTTTTCGTATTTGCGCAATCTCCGCCCGTATTCAATCAATTACGCCAAACTTATGCCTACCATCAATCACAGTAGTTTCGGTCGCTGTTATTTATAGGAGCGCACGCACGCGAGTTTCTCTATAGTTTTCTTTCTAAAAAAAATTAATGAACGTCTACCTTTCCTATTTTTGAATTTTAACTGGCGTACGTCTGCACAAGATATTTATATCGGAACGGAAGAAAGGGCGCGGCGGGGGTGAATGTTACATCACAACCCGCAATCCGCAACAGTTCAAACCGCTGAAATTGGATTTACATTCGGACAAGGCATTTAAAACTGTATTGATTTGCGCTTTACTCGTTTACGGCGTTATGGTCTGAATACCCTGAAATCAAGTTACCCTCGCCCACCTCCTTCCCTCGTTTGGGGTTTAGACTTTAGAAATAGTTAGTTACAAGTTACAAAGTTTCTTACTCATATCAAACAGTAACTAATAGGATTTTAGGCATTATAGGAAATATTTACTCTATGCCTATGCTAATAATAATAATTATTCTTTGGTCATATCAAGCAAACCGATCTGAGTCGTACTTGTTCGACCTACCATCCGATTTACAGGTCGTGCAAATCGGATGAAAATATCGAAAATCTGTGGTGCCCATTGAATATCGAAAGCATGCTATACGTATAGTTGTCTCGCTCACCTCAAGCGCATATATAGCTATATATCCAGGGGCGGAGGGGAACCATATGAACCGGTCCGTGAAATGTACTTGAGTATCGGCCCACTTAGCGGGTGGGGGAGGGGGTACTCAATGCGCCCTAATTTATGCTTTTTCTAACACTGATTGTTGATAATTATTTCCCAACAACATAAATGCTTCTAGATTATTGTTGCACAATCTGTTCCTTAATCGAAATTATACATTATCAGCATTACGAAAGAATAAGAATCAATTAATTAATGTGTAATTCTTAAAATGGATTAATTTATAACAGTAATTATAAGCGCGAACTATTCATTACTTCGGCGTTGAAATTGGAACTGAGTGAAACGCAATTCGATTTGCTTATATAGCAAACGCCGTTCATTCTGGAAGGCTCCCGAGTATTCTAAAATGTTCTTTAACAAACACGTCGTATTTCCCGGAAAGATTGCGTCACATCTGTCTTCGCTCTTGCAATAAAAAATTAAATTAATTCCCTGCAAGTGGCGGCGCAGCCTGGCACTCTCTCTGTTTTGTGTTTTCGTTTGAGTGATGCTGCCAGCCCCAAAGCGCTCATGGATCCTACCGGCCCACCGGGGAAGTTCCCGGTATTCCGCCGGTCCCATCCACCCCTGGCTATATCTCGCTTATTGGAATCCAGTACATGTACGTTATGTCACATTTTTACTTTGCCATTTCTATGTGTATTGCATGTACGTCCGTGTGAGTGTGCACCATCGAGAATCTCACAAGCAAGTCTTGTGCGGAAGAGAGTTTTGTATTCCATCTTTCAACAAGTGGCCCCCAACGTGGAGCGGAAGAATCACAATCAGTAGGTACCAGGCGGCAAGGGGACAACACCTTTAACGATGCAGTTTTTCTGATAAATAAAAATTTGATCCAGACTTACCGACACAGCAAATATTACGTAAAATATTTGCTTTCGACCAGGGGGAGAAAGAGCCCACATAGCACTTCATATGCGAAAGGCGCGCTGATCCACTATGTCGTGAAAACATAATACATATACGAGGCATGTTCATGCCAACCGTTACCTAAAACCATTGTATAAACCCTAAAAGTATTCAAACTCTCACCAACATAGTTTTTCATGATCAATCGAAAAAAAACATTATGATTGTTTCACTTCCGATATTATCAGAAATGGATAGCAACTTAGTTATTTTAAATAGAGCACCTTAAATCTACATGAAAATCTTCGTCATTTGATATCATTTCCCTATACCCAGCAGCAAAGGTTTTAAAGTTGTTCAAAATTCATACCGAAGAAGTTTGCAAAATTTGGTTTCTAAACAAATCAGAAAATTAAATTTTTGTTTCACAATCTACCAGTGGTGCACCGAAAAAAAGTTTAGGGGTGGAAAATTGAACATGATCCTTGAAAAAACAACACCCTGTAGATTCTCACTACCATTGACGCGACCAATGATGTAAGCCCTACAGCGTAACTTATATTTCAAATTTGAGCGAGATATCTCAAAAACTGCAGGATATAAAGAAAAAACTTAAAAATCTTGAAGTTTTAACACCCTGTAGATCGATAACGCAGCGTTTGGGGACCTATGTTTATATGAACTTAGTCTACATAGAAAGTGAGACTGTGCTTTTAGTCCCTTCGGTATTTACATCATATTTCAAAGAACACCCTGTATTCACACTGAAATTCTCAACGAGAAAAAACGTAACCTTATTAGGAGTTTTTTTTATAACCAAATAATTCTGGTGGCGTCGTTATTTAACAAATTCTGTTACTCAGAAACTACTGGTTGCCCTAGAATCTCGCTCTGTCTGTATTGTTTAATACCAAAATAGATGTTTGATAAAACCGATTTTTAACATTCATTTATATTATTGTTGTTAGGTATGGATGGAGAGGATGACACACTACTTATTAAAATCGAACCAAAACAAGAAGAAGAAATTCATTCCTTTCTTCAGGAACACATTTCAGTCAACAATGAGGCTTTAGTCACAATAAAGGATGAAATTGGTGTTAGTACACTGTGTTCTAAATCTCTTGATAATGAAGAAGTACGGCACCACTCTGACTTTCAACCTCACCTTTTACCTGAGTGTAAAACAGTGTCTAAAGAGTTTAAATGTACCGATTGTGATTATGGGACAAACAATAAATGCAACTTTAAACAACATCTTTTAAAACATAAAGTTTCTAAAGATTTTAAATGTGCCGATTGTGATTACGGGACAAATAATAAACACCACTTCAAACGACATCTTTTAAAACATAAGGTTTTGAAGGATTTTAAATGTGCTGATTGTGATTATGAGACAAATTATAAAAGCAGCTTTAAACAACATCTTTTAAAACATAAAACTTACAAGGATTTGAAATGTCGTCTTTGTGATTATGAGACAAACAATAAATATTATTTTAGGCAACACCTTTTCAATCATAAAATTTCGAAAGATTTCAAGTGTGCTGATTGTGATTATGAGACTAATGATAAACCCAACTTCAATCGACATCTTTTAACACATAAAGATGATAAGGGTTTTAAATGCGCTAATTGTGATTTTGGGACGAAATATAAAAGCTCTCTTAAGCAGCACCTTTTAAAACATATAGTTTCTAAATCTTTTAAATGTGTTAATTGTGATTATGGGACAAATGATAAAAGCATGTTCAAACGACATCTTCTAACACATAAAGTTTCTAACGACTTTAAATGTGGTGATTGTGATTATAAGACAAATGTTGGAAAGTACTTTAAACGACACCTTTTAAAACATAAAGTTTCTCAGGATTTTAAATGTGCTGATTGTGATTATGGGACAAATGTTAAAGGCAACTACAAACAACATCTTTTAGTACATAAAGTTTGTAAGGTTTTTACATGTACTGATTGTGATTATGGGACAAACAACAAATATGCCTTTAACAAACATCTTTTGAAACATAAGGTTTCAAAGGATTTTAATTGTGCTATTTGTCATTATGAAACAAATTATAAACACCTCTTCAAACAACATCTCTTAACACATAAGATTTGTAAAGATTTTCAATGTACTGATTGCGAGTATGGGACAAACAACAAATATTCCTTTAACCGACATCTTTTAAAACATAAAAATTCTAGTTATTTTAAATGTGCTGATTGTGATTATAGGACAAATGTTAAACGCAACTTGAAACATCATCTTTTAAACCATAAAGTTTCTAAAGATTTTAAATGTGCTGATTGTGATTATGGCACAAACGTTAAATTCTTCTACAAACGACATCTTTCAAAACATAAAGTTTTTAAAGATTTTAAATGTGCTCATTGTAATTTTGGGACGAAATATAAACCCTCTCTTAAACAGCACGTTTTAAAACACACCGTTTCTAAATAACGGGCGATCAAAAATGAGTTGTCGAGTCGCTTTTGAAAGTTCAGTTTATGTACTCATTTTTGATCACATAAGTAGTAGGTATCTATTTCAAATGTGTTGATTGTGATTATGGCACAAATAATAAACTCATTTTCGAGCAATGTATATTTTAATATGTAATAATTACTGTGGCGTTGGGAGTGCAGTGTGGATAATAGTACGTCGCCACGACCTCTGAGTGGTAGCCCTTTACTTTGGCAGCCAAGCACTACTAGTAGTCCGGGAGCCAGGGGCATTTTAAATCAACTCATTTAATCCCGACCAAAAATCATTGGCTTTAGAAGCTTGTCACCAGATGTCGCTCCTATGAATTTTGTCCTTTAGTTCACGGTACACCCACCAGCTGGGCTAGCGATTAGCATTTATTTAAAGCAAAGATCAACTCACTAGATTATATATATTTATATTATATTATATACTTTACATTTATTCATAAAATTTATTGTTCTGCATTTATTTGATTTATTCTATAACTTAACCTAAACAATTTTTTTTTATTATAACCAAATAATTACTAGTGGCGTAGTGCACACCTTATTCAACAAATTCTGTTACTCAGGAAGTAAGTAATGTCTGGTTGCCCTGGGATCTCGGTCTGTATTATTTAATACCAAAATAGATTTTTGATAAAACAGATTTTAACACATTTATTTACAACATTTTTGTTGTTAGGTATGGATGGAGATGATGGCACCATACTCATTAAAATTGAACCAAAACAAGAAGAAGAAATCCATTCCTTTCTTCAGGAACACATTTCAGTAAACAACGAAGCTTTGGTGACAATAAAGGACGAAATTACCATTAGTACACTGTGTTCTAAATCTCCTGATAATGAAGAACTACACTTTCAAAGTCGCCTTTTAACTCCGTGTAAAACAGTGTCTAAGGATTTTAAATGTTCTGACTGTGGTTATATGATAAACAATAAATATGACTTGAACCAACACATTTTAAAACATAAAATTTTAAAAGATTTCAAATGTACGGATTGTGATTATGGGACAAGTGTTAAAGGTAATTTTAAACAACATCTTTTAATACATAAAGTTTCTAAGGATTTTAGATGTGCTACTTGTAATTATGGGACAAATCGCAAAAGCAACTTTAAACAACATGTTTTAAAACATGATGTTTCTAAGAATTTTAAATGTGCCAATTGTGATTATGGGACAAATAACAAACACCACTTCAAACGACATCTTTTAAAACATAAAGTTTTGAAGGATTTTAAATGTGCTGATTGTGATTATGAGACAAATGATAAAACCACTTTCCAACGACATCTACTAACACATAAAGTTGTTTCTAAGGATTTTAAATGTGCCGATTGTGATTATGGGACAAATATCAAACACCATTTCAAACGACATCTTTTAAATCATAAAATTTGGAAAGATTTTAAGTGCGCTGATTGTGATTATGGGACAAATGATAAAGCCAACTTTAATCGGCATCTTTTAATACATACCGATTCTGAGTATTTTAAATGTGCTAATTGTGATTTTGGAACGAAATATAAAAGCTCTCTTAAACAGCACCTGTTCAAACAACATCGTTTAAAACACGGAGTTTCTAAAGAGTTTAAATGCGCTAATTGTAATTATGGAACAAATGTTAAAGGCAACTACAAACTACATCTTTTAATACACAAAGTTTCTAAGGTTTTTAAATGTACAGATTGTGATTATGGAACAAACAACAAATACTCCTTTAACAGACATCTTTTAAAACATAAAAGTTCTAAGGATTTTAAATGTGCTAATTGTGATTATGGGACAAATGTTAAACGAAATTTGAAACATCATCTTTCAAAGCATAAAGTCTCTAAAGATTTTAAATGTGACCATTGATTTTGGGACAAAATATATAAACCTTCTCTGAAACAGTACCTTTTAAAACATACCGTTTCTAAACACCTACTTTAAATGTGCTGATTGTGATTATGGCACAAATAATAAATGATTTGTAAATAGTTGCTAATATAAGAATTGTGACAAAACTCAGAGTAAGAAATTTTGTTACTCTGAGCTTTAAAATAACAGCATTGTATTTTAAAGGATAATGCACAAAGCTGTATATAGTAAATAGAGAAACAGTGTTGTTTCGGGTACCTAATTGACGTTAAGAGTGATAATCCCCCCCCCCCCCCCCTTCAAAAATCCTAAATGGCAACATGTGACACATCGTTGGAAAGCTAGTGAAAAATGTTTTTTAGTGGTACCGATAAAGCCTAATTTATTTTTTGGGCTACATTGCCAATTCACGAACTCCGATCTACAAATTTGATAAAGAATCCACCTACAAAAGTTCATCGTAATCGGTCCCTTCGTTATCGAAATATATCGTGTTAACGGACGGACAGACACCGCAAAATTATAAACTCGCGAGGAGCTCGTTAATAAATGAGAACATGAGCAGACGCAGAATTTTTCAAGCTACAAGAAATCTACTTACAACTTTGCTCTAAATTAATTAGGGAAGAAAATATTTCGATATAAAGAAATTAGCATTGAAGTGCCTATGGTGCGTAAACATTTTCTACACCCTGTATACAACTCTGTGCTTGTACCATTGAATATAAATTCAATTCCTCAAAGATTTTCAAGTGTTTTTAATTTTATCGATATTATTTTATTAATTAGATCGAATAGGATAGCGGGAAATCACTTCATGGCTTTAAAAGCTTGTCACCAGATGCAAAGATCTGCCAGATGTCGCTAATTTGTTTTTTGTCACTTTGGTCCTTCAGTTAGTACCACAGAGTTGTATCATGAGATCATACACATAATACTCATATGTCTATGCATGAGATGCACGCTTAGACCATATAGTACATGGACTGCTAATTGTAACTAAAATATGGTCAAGGACATCGCCTGGCTATGTGAGTTTCAGGGTAAACGAGTCTGCCCGAAGTTGTCCGATGAGGCACGATTTGAGACTGTCAACCTATAAATTAACAAACGTCAATTAATTAATCGCCTAGATATCCCAAAAAAAGCAAACTTATTCTTATTTGTATAGCGTATAGCAAATAATGAAGAGTATTTAAAGCTTCCCCTACTACGCGGTTACTATAAATCTGCTAATTAAACGATCCTAGTGGTGTTTACACGACTTTAGTTTACCCTGAGATTCACATACCCACAACCCACGACTACAGTGCCCTCTATCCGTGACCATCCATTTTGTATTGAAAGCATAGGGCGAATAGCAGTCCATGTACTATATGGTCTAAGGATGCACGTCTTGTTGCAACGTTTTCTTTTTTTTTAGTGGCGCCCTCATTATTCGATCTACTGAACTCATGGTTCTTCATTGCGGTACGTGTAGTTTGGATTGCATACGTTCAGGGAGGTGTGATGCATTTTTAGGCATAATATTAAGGCAGTGGAATGGTAAATGATTTATTTTTCGCAGACTGGGTTTGGTTTCTCCTTGAGTTATCATCAACCTAATTTTATGGTGCACACTACTGAATTTATTGCAAAAAAACCGAAAAATTTTCTATCTAGTGTACTAATTAGGGGTCTGTGCTGAGAAAGTGAGAACACAGACAGACATTCAGGCAGGTCTTGGTATTACGAAAGATCTATATGTGTAAGTATATAATTGCACCATCAATATTTATACAATAAACATATTTGTCTAAAATGGAATATAAAACTACAATTAGCTATTATAGTAGCAGATATTTACAGTTGTCTTGTACTTTACTTACTTATAAGGCAGATTACAGAAACGTCATTGCAGTTTGTCTAGTACCACAGGTCATAAATCATGCAAATGTTATTTCCAGTCATTGATGACACCCATATAAACAACTATTGTCAACTGGTCAAAGTTCTTTCCGCGGACAATGGAATTCCTTCTTTACAGTGATGCATTTTCACATGACGGCTTAGATTTCTTCTATTCCTCGTGGTGAAAGTGCACTGTTGACAGTCATATTTTTCCGTACCATGTTGTCCACGCACATGCCTTGCCAAATTAGCTTTCGCATTCGTGACGAAACTACACTGCTGACAATAATATTTCTCCGCACCATGACGTCCCCTCACATGGTTACTTAAACATGACTTATATTTTGTAGTGAAGCTGCACTGTTGACAACGATACCGTTTCGTACCATGAACAGTAAGCATATGTAACATTAACCCCTTCTTTCGCTTCGTGGTATATTTGCACTTGTCACATTTCAAATTTTCTAAAGAATCGTGGGGATGAAGAAACTGAATATGGCTAATTATGTTCCACTTTGTATTCGTCGTGAAACTACAATGAGCACAATTAAATTCGTACAAACGATGACGTCCTTCTATATGCTTGATTAAGCTGGTCTTCCATTTCGTTGTAAAGCTACAGTGATGGCATTTAACTCGTTGGCCGATATTCGAAGTTAAATTCTCGTCTTCAACAACTGTGTTTTCGCATTGTTCATCATTCAAGTGTTGCTCATCTGAAACAGTCGACATTTGTGCCACAGTGGCATCATTTGAAACTTGGCCGGTTTGATCCAAGGGTGACCCAATTTCTTCGCCGTGTCTCTGCATGCTACAGTTTTGTGCTTCATTTATACTAAAATCTTGGTCTGTAAGCATACAGTTAATTTCAGCTTCTTGCTTAAGCTCAGGTAAACGGTGGAAATTCACATTGTCCATTGTTGATTTACGACCACCCAAATGACCACTATTTGAAGAAACTGTCGCTGCACCAATTGATTGATGATGCGTGTCTGATAAGTTATTGCTATCATTGCCGAATCGGTTTATTTCCATTCTACAATTGGACTCCTGATTTAAGCTTAAATCTTCATTGAAAAGGTGATTTTCTTCGTCATCACTTATTACTACAATGTCTTGTAATGTGGGATTGTTACCTTTTCTTCTCTTAGCACTGTGTCGGTTTTCATTTGAAACAGACTCCGTGCTGTAACCGTTTGAAGAGGCTAAAGGTATTACAAATGGTAGAAAAACTATTGTGGTGCCGGGTGGCATTGTAATGTTACTAAGCTGATGTTGATTTAAAAGTTGGTAATTCAAGTTGTTGGCATCACTATCAGATTTGCGTTTTCTTTGCATCCGACAGGAATCCCGTCCTTCATTCATAGTAAACTCTTGGCCATTAAGAAAGCAGTTTATATCCTCCTCTTGCTTCACGTCAATCTGTTTCTGATGTTGTCCATTAATTTCCAAGCTGACCTCCGCATCTTCTTCTTGTAGTTCTGTTTTAATAATACTATCCATGATAATCTCTCACAAAAAAGTAAACCACAAAACGCAATTCCGCTTGCCACAAAGCAAAATAATTACTAACTAATGCAACTATCTACCTCTCATATTAAGGACGCCGTGATTAAGCGCTATGTAATGTACTTATAATTACTTATTTATAGCAAGGAAAACCCACTGGATGTAATTGCAGAGAAAAACTTAAACATTCCATACGAAGAGAAAGGAAATCATTTCAAATAGAACTACAATTCAAAAACTGGTGTATAGAACTATGATGTTACGTTTGAACTACTTAAAGTCACTAAATATAGAAAGTACCGCATTCCATTGGGCTCGTGTGTTAGAGAGAGAACGCATGATTTTTGCCCAAAAATGGCGGAAGTTACCAGATTCTAGTAACTTTAATGTTAGGGATTGTTCCACCTGTTTGGAGATATCTGTACGTTGAGATAAAAGGGCTAAACTCCGTACAATCTGCGCATGCGAAAGAAACGTCAATGTTGCAATGTTATTAATTAAAATGTAGGTTAGATTATTGTTTTCATCACAGGCCGTTATAATGAATAAACATATTCGTAAATCGTAATGTACATTTAAACTCGCACTTTTGAGGTTGTATACCAAGAGCCATGTTTCCCTGCAGCAGTATAATTTCCGAAAAGGACAGTATAAGCCCCATGTTCACAAATCGTAACCCAAGACATTTCAAATACCTACGAATCGCTCATAAACCGGACGGCTACTACTGTGATAAAACTGGAACGCTCCTACTGGCATAAATATACAAATTTGCTTTCCTACCGCCTCCAATAAGATAGCCCGATTGTAGATGGCAATCGACACAAACAGGCCGTCACGTAACTTCATTGTTCGTGCATTACTTCATCGGACCCGACACTCACCGCTAGCACGAAGGAATGGGCCATCAAAACCAGGCTGTATAAGACCATGCACCAAGTCATTGGCGTACGTGAACGTCACATGGTCACGTCCCTGCATTCAATTTAATGTTTGCTACTTGTAGGTTTCAGTTCTTCGTACAAAGATGCCTTGCTAGCGGTCCGACAGAGTTTATATACGATTGCAAACCCCAACACAACGGCAATAAGGTCGCAAAGTTTCTAACGTGCTCCAAGATTTCAATTTGAAATTGTCTGAGCCGGAGTAGTCAAGAGAGCCGTGGACGAGAGAAAGATTACCACACCCGTGGGATATAATCTGACTTGACAGATAATGTGAATCGATCTTAAATTGTGTACCTATTAGGTAGATAGCTGCATAATTTACAATAAAGTTTTATTTGTACTTGTGCTTCCATAGTTTCTGTAAAGAGAAGGCTGAGTATTGGGTCGCTCCAATGAAGTGATAGAAAGCCCTACGTTCAGTTTCCCGAGATGCTTCCCTGTTCTCAAAGGTTCTTCCAAAAAAGGTGCTTTTTACTAATTTCTAGATTGCATGAAAAACCGTTTATTTGATTTTTTAAGAAGTTAATGGGTTTCAAGAACAATAAATTTGATAAATATGTAAACTTTTTATTGCTTACCAATATTTTAAACATTAAATAATAAACTACACAATAATAAAAAGGGCACCTTAGTTATAGTGAATTGGCAATTTCAAATTGAAATCTTGAAGCACATTAGAAACTTTGCGACCTTACTGACGTTGTGTTCGGGTTTGCAATCGCACATAAAATCTGTCGGACTGCTTGCAAGGCATCTTTGTACGAACAACTGAAATCTACAAGTAGCAAACATTAAATTGAATGCAGGGACGTGACCGTGTGACATTCACGTACGCCAATGACTTGGTGCATGGTCTTATACAGCCTGGTTTTGATGGCCCATTCCTTCGTGCTAGTGGTGAGTGTCGGGTCCGTTGAAGTAATGCACGAGCAATGAAGTTACGTGACGGCCTGTTTGTGTCGATTGCCATCTACAATCGGGCTATCTTATTGGAGGCGGTAGGAAAGCAAATTTGTATATTTATGCCAGTAGGAGCGTTCCAGTTTTATCATCGTAGTAGCCGTCCGGTTTATGAGCGATTCGTAGATATTTGAAATGTCTTGGGTTACGATTTGTGAACATAGGGCTTATACTGTCCTTTTCGGAATTTATACTGCTGCAGGGAAACATGGCTCTTGGTATACAACCTCAAAAGTGCGAGTTTAAATGTACATTACGATTTACGAATATGTTTATTCATTATAACGGCCTGTGATGAAAACATTGAAAACAATAATCTAACCTACATTTTAATTAATAACATTGCAACATTGACGTTTCTTTCGCATGCGCAGATTGTACGGAGTTTAGCCCTTTTATCTCAACGTAGATATCTGTACATATTTTTATAAAACATGACAGTATTATGAAGTTAGGTTATAAAAAATGACAGCTATTCAGATTTTATTTGTCAATTTTTTTAAGTTGGCAGCAAATTTGCCCAAAAATGGCGGATGGTTGCGGTACTTTCTATATCTAGTGACTTTAGAACTACTATAGCTAAGCTGAAATAAGTTACGGTGTTCCACAGGAAGATGTACAGTTTAAGTCATTTTGGTCATTGTACATGTACTGCTGTGCACTTGTTATACGTTTAAAAAGTGGCAACACCGCAAATGGCTAATATTATATTGTTCAACAGACTGATGATATATAAACAATCATAAAAGTAAAAATAGAAGCGTATACCTACTGCATTAGAACATAAAAAAATTAAAGAAAGATAAAATGAATGTACGTACCTAATTACTGCATATCAATAAGAATGGTAAAGAAAAACACAAAAAATTTAACATGATGATACACTTACATGGACTTACATGTTGCAAAATAGAAAGCAATCCTATAAAAACATTTTACTCTTGTATTAACTTTAACTTTGTTTATTGAGCAGCGCGCAGATAAGTTATTAATAATATCTCCTATTAAACCAATTATAGTGTTATAGAATAGTATCCCTTTCGATCTGTGGGTAATTTATATTGAGAAAATGCAGGTCACGGAAAACCCGATTCCGATCTACAATCTTATGCTTTTCATATTAAAGCAAACGATTGTAGATCGGCACCAAGTGTTCTGTGACCGGCCTTCTCTCCTGGCGAGTTTAATGGCTACATGTTTGCAATTGATGCACCCATAACACCAGGAAAATCATAAAAGTAATAGAATTACAATTGGTACACTTACAGGTAGGTATTAAACCTAACTAACCTCATGCTCCATCAATCAGCACAATTTAAAATCTTTGGAAGTCTTGTGTTGTAACAGATGTCTGTTAAATAGAGTTTTATAATTGGTTTCGTAATCACACTGGCTACATTTTAAATCTTTGGAAACCTTGTGTTTTAACTGATGTTTATTAAAATTTCCCTTATTATTGGTTTCATAATGACACTGGCTACATTTTAAATCTTTGGAAATCTTGTGATTTAACAGATGCATTTTTAAATTGATTTTATTATGAGTGGCGTAATCACACTGGCTACACTGTAAATCTTTAGAACTTTTGTGTATTAACAGATGTTTATTAAAATTGCTCTTATTATTGGTTGCGTAATCACACTGGCTACATTTTAAATGCTTAGAACTTTGATGTATTAAAAGGTGAGATTTTAATTTGTATTTAAAATTGGTTCCATAATCGCACTGGCTACATTTAAAGTCTTTGAAAATCTTGTGTCTTAACAGATGCCTTTGTAAGTTCTGTTGGTAATTAGTGACGTAATCACACTGGCTACACTTAAAATCCTTAGAACTTTTGTGTATTAACAAATGATTTTTGAAACGGACTTCATTATTGGTGGCATACTCACACTGACTACATTTTAAATGCTTGGAACTGTTGTGTAGTAACAGATGGGCTTTAATACTGCCTTTATAATTGGTTGTGTAATTGCAGTGGGTACATTTTAGATCTTTTGAACTTTTATGTATTAACAGATGGTTTTTAAAACTGCCTTTATTATTGGTTGCATAGTCACACTGGCTACATATTAAATCCTTGGAAACCCGGTGTATTAACACATGTGTTTTAATACTACGTTTATTATTGGTTACGTAATCACAATCACTGCATTTTAAGTTCTTGGAAGTACCGTGCACCAGCAGATGGCTTTTAAAATTGTATTTATCATTGGTTGCATAGTCACACTGGCCACATTTTAAATCCTTGGAAATCTTGTGTATTAACACATGAGCTTTAATACAACCTTTACTATTCGTTACATAGTCACACTGGTTACATTTTATATCTTTCAAACGTTTGTGTGTTAACAGATGAGTATTAAAATAGCCTTTACTACTAGTTACGTAATCACATTGGCTACATTTAAATTCTTTTGAAATCTGATGTATTAACCAGTGGTTTTTAAAATTATTTTCAGTATTAGTTGCAAAATCACATTTGGCACATTCAAAACCTCCATGTGTCAACAAATGGTCTTCAAAACAGTATTTATTATTAGTTGCGTAATTACACTGGACACACTTAAAAACGTTCGAAGTTTTATGAGTCAACAGATGTACTTCTAAATTACATTTAATATTGGTTGCATAATAACAATGGGCACATTTAAAGCTTTTTGATTTTGGTGGTTGTTTAGTATGAGTAAAATCACTGTTCGATATATCATTAGGTTCTTGCTTTATACTTGCAGAGACATCGTTAGTAAGGAAAACCTTATCACTAATGAATGTGATTATTTCTTCTTCTTCTGTACCTTCAACTTTAATATCCGCAAACATGATCACATATGTTTTTAACTGCATTTATTTAATTATAACATCACATTTTATTATGCCTGCGCGTTTGAGACGGTCGAAAACAGCTCTAAGGTCGAAAACTCGTTTGGAGGTTAATAATTAAATTTACTGTATATTTTTATATACGGTGTGTCCCATGTTGAACACACCATGGCCAAACAGAATTAATGGATTTTTTCGCGAAGGATGCACCATGCCTATGATATGTAATTGAAGTTAGCGTTCAACGTACGTTATTGCACATGC